ACAAAGATAATAATATTAGCCCAAATGTAAATAGCAATAATTTCTCATCTGAGAAATTTAGAGAGAAATTAACTTAACTCAGTATAATACAGAACTTTATGCAGAGAAATTAGTGGAGAGAGTTTATAATAAATCAGTCTTTTCAAGTGAAGAAGTAAGTCTAGCATGATTTGAAGTTTTAGCTTTCAATTTGGCTTGAACCCTGACCACTAGCACCAGTGGGTGAAACTAAGTTACCTCAACGCAGAGACTAGCTCAGGTGCAATATTGTGTTTATTTAGTGAGTACAATTGTTGCAGAATATTGATTGGCATTGTGTTTCAGAACCTGTAGCTCTTACTGTGGCCAGATGAATATACACTTTGCCGACCATTTTCATCTGAAGAAGAATTGTTTAATGATTCTATTATGACTATTTTATCTTCTATTCTCGACCAATTTGTTCTTATCAGGTGTTTAATGATCCAACTTGTTTATCACATCAAGCTTAGAGAAATAATTGTTCTCATGAGATGTTAATCATATTGCTTTCACCCAACCTCAACAAGTTAAACAATAAACCTGGTTAATTCTTTTTAAATGGCAAGACCATAGGTGATAATGGCTCTCTACAACTTCCTTTTCTTTGACATCTGTAAATTGCCCATTGCCATGACTGTTTATGGGGAAAGGTAGCTGAATAGTTTCTTCTTGTTCTCTCTATAGTTTTGAATTTAGAATTCTAAGCTTAGAAATAGTTTACCTTAGCATAGAGTGATGGCGAACAAGTCTTACTAGACCATTTGCTACTGTAGTGAGCTCCATCTTGAAAAGGTTTTCTACTACTGTGGCCTTGTGCCAAACTAGGCTAGACTTAGAAAAAAGTCACCTTAGCATGGTCTTAAGTCTTACTAAACCATTTGCTAGTATAGTGAGTTCAATCCTGATACTCTCCATTACTGTGACCTTGTGCCAAACTAAGCCATATTTAGAAAGAGGTCACCTTAGCATTGAGTGATGGTCAGCAAGTCTTTGTAGACCATTTGCTAGTGTAGTGAGTTCAACACTTTAAGGGTGCTTCAAAGTAAGCCAGCATTTGAAAAAGTTCACCTTAGCATAGAGTCAAGTTTCACAAAGTCTTACTTGATCATTTGCTAGCATAGTGGGTGCTCTATTGCGTCAAACTAAGCTAGGCTTAGAAAAAGGAATATCTAGCATATAGTGATGGTTAACAATCTAATTTTTACTTGACCATTTCTGAATGCAGTGAGTTTGTAGCTAAGCTTTGTAAATATTTTGGAGTGTGTTGATTAACAAGGTTTTCTTCGAATGTAATTCATTCATGTAATGAGGTCATTCTTAATGGATGTCACACTAATATGGCCTTATGTAAGGCTAAACTATGTTTAAACTATTTCGCTGGATCTTTAATTTAGATTTTGTATTATTAAAATGTACAATTGTTTTACTATCTCATTAAGAATTGCAGTGCTTAAATGTCCCTTAAGCATCATTTGTTATAGAAAATGAAGTTTCACAAGAAGTTCTTTGAGGAATGTAGCACAAAAACTTGGCTTGATTATAAGTGGGCAATGATTACAATATATTGCCTCCTTGATAAGGGAAGTATGTTCAATTCATATCTAATGTCTTTGCATTGTTATTCATTAATTCATGTTTTACCTGAACAAATAAAATCAAACCAAATGATTCTTTTGCAGTTTTTATTATATAGTTCTCAAAATGTGTGTGTGTATGTATGTGTGTTTGTGTGTGTGATCGGATATTGTTTATACATTTACACAGTTTTCATCCAATTTTGATGAAATCTTTTGTTTGATAGATAATTCTTCAGTGCCAGTTTTGAGTCCAAATTGTTGGCAACAATGGCTCTCCACTACTTCCTGTCCATTATAACTCTCAGTAATGTTTTACTATTTACTATCTGTTCTTGGATATATATCTTTCATAAAAACTTTAATAAAAATAAATAGTTTAAATTATTACAATAATATTATTTATTATTATTATACAGTTTCCTTTTCAGGGCCACCCCCTCCATTCAAATTGTTACCCCACCATTTGGGGATGTGCCTCAGTTGCACCCAAATGTTGTTACTAATATTGATTTTCAGGTGGGCAGACTTTAAACTTAAACTGCTCCAATTGAATGGCAAAAATTCCCGGTAATGAAAGACCCAGTCAAAGATGGGTTATACTGCTAGTACACACACACATATATAATAACAATATAGTTTTTAGGTAGGCTATATTTAAGAGTAAAAGTGTTTAATATCAGGGATAGAGTGTATGTAAATATAAGAGTGGGCACTGAGGTCAACACTAAGTGGCAGCAGTCTCTTTAATGCTTCAGGCAATCTGTGTTGTATTTTGGCTTGACTTTGCTGGTCAATAGAGCATTATGGGTAACAAGGTCTAATGGTTTTTGGGTAGGCAGTAATGGTTATATTCCAAATTATTCTAGAGGCTAGAAATTGTTGTGGATCCAAATGTGATTATTAGTAACTATTTTATAGTGTTGTTTGTTAACTTTTTACTCATTGTTTATCATTGATTAATAATTTGTTGTTGATTATCATTACCACATTTACTTGTGTTTATAGGTGCATTTGTAGTTTGATAATTTGTTTATTATTTACTTAATTAATTGTTTTGTCTAAAGTATGAAACAGACTGTTGCTGCTCGGTGTTGACCTCAGTGTATATTATACAGGGTGTGACGGGTAAATAGTCGTCATTTTATATTTCTAATTTTGTGCATGTGTGTTTTTTGTTTTGATTTTGTTGACTACACAATATAATGGGGTCAGTTGGGCACCATGTGTGAAAAAAGGTCACCATGATGCAATTCACTCTGTTAGAAATTTGGAAACTGCATGCTATATTGCTTGGCATTCATGCTAGAAGCTCCAATACTAACATTTCAGAGTGTTTGGCTGTCATTCTGAGGACAGTGCAGAAGATTCAGAAAGAGTTGGATGAGTTTAATGGTTATTACAAAGGTGTTTGGAGTGATCACTAGTGATGGCAATGCTATGCCTCCATTCATCTTCCCACAGGGCCTCAGACTCAGCACAGAGACCTACATCAAGTAGCTTGAGGAGGTAGTGCTGCCCTGGGTCAAGAGGGTAGACTGTTGGGATACCCTATGTCTGGCAACAGGACTCACAAGCTGGGAACCCAGACATGACTGTCAGATAATTTCAGTGACCACATCACCCTTTACATCTGACCACCTAACTCTCCAGACTGCAACCCCCTTGATTATTATGTGTTGAGCGCAGTTGAGCGAGAGACCAACAAAACTCCTTGTAACCCTTTATTTCACTCGCTGGGGTAGGCTGTTCTAGTTCCACGTGCCATGTCTAATGGATGTCAGTTATCAGTTATCTCCTGTTAATTCACTAATGGATATCAGTTATCTCCTGTTAATATATATATATATATATATATATATATATATATATATATATATATATATATATATATATATATATATACCTAATGTGCCTGAAATAGCAGTCAGGTTCAGCTTCTGAATTAGTGAACCAGCTTATCGGCACAAAAGGTTACAGAGAGTCAGAGTAATGATGAGTGTTTGAGAAAAGGATAAAGAGAAGAACAGGGATCAAGGTCAAGGAATCAGAAGATGTTGATTGACATTACATTTGAATATTTGAAGATTATAGCTATCAGGAAAGCAAGTGATAGGAAAGGAGTTCCACTGATGGAAGGTGCAAGATAAGAAGCTGTAGAAGAGATGGCTACATTTAGCTGTTTCAACAGTGAAAGGGTGACACCAAAATGCCAACTTAGTAGCACGCTTAAATTCATGCAGTTTGGGAACCAATGAAAGTCGCTCATCAGAGCAGTTGCCATGAAAATACTTGTAGAAAAGACAGAGGGAAGCCACATCACATCTGTGAGAAAGATGAACTGAAGGCAAGGATTATGGCAGCATTCACCAACTTAAGCAAGGAGACCATCCAGAAGAGTTGCAAGAGATTGCCAAGTCATCTGGAGGCCATGGTTGAAGCCAATGGTGATTTTATTGAATAAATTTACTCTTTAGTATTTCAAGATATTTTTGTGTAAATTTTGGTAAATATATCTGTTTTTAAAACGAGATGTCAGTGTCACTTTCATTTTTTTTTTTTTTTTTTTTGAATAATTTAGACGACAATTTATCCATCGCACCCTATATATATATATATATATATATATATATATATAAAATTTATAATCTCAGATAGATGTAAAAATGCTTTAGAGCCAGTGAATATCAACAAATCTCTTTTCTTTATACTTTAATAAAAGCAATACCTTCATATTGTACCAATAATGAGAAGAGAACTGTTGTAAAGTAGTATATCATAGTGGTCAATACATAGTTACACAAACTGAATATTAATAACATTTTCTTTTTTTGTCTAAGGGAGACAATTTATAATCTCCACTCTTCACATATTTAAATTAAACTACCATGACAAGAAACTTTTTATTTGCCTAAATATTTATGACATGCTAATGTTTTTTTAAATAATTATCTTTTTCAATCATAATATTTAATTTAGTGACAGCTTATCCAGTTGAAGAACATCAGTTACTTCAGATGACTCTGTTTAAATAACTTAACCATGTCTGGAAAAAAATATTTGTGGTATTAAAAGACATTATCTTTTCTCCTTTGCATGCAAATATTTAAGGCTGACACGTATAGATTCCAGTTGAGCTTGTATTATTAAATAAATAAATGAATGAAAGTAGAAATGAAATTAAAAAAAAATTAAAAAAAGATTAAAAAAAATTACATGGCTCCACTCCACATCACATGATGATGATCAGAGAATAGACTGGTCGAAATGTTGAGAGCATAAACGTACAAAGGATGTGTGTACTGTCCAAATAAATAAACTTTCTACAATGATTCTTCCAGTGTTCTTGTTCACCTCGTCTGACCTCTCCCACTGACCGAGCCAGCCAGCACCACAACCATTTTTCTACATACCTGGCACCTCTTCACTATGTCCTGTGTCCCCCTCACTCCAACCACGTCCACTGTCAGTGTGAGAGGACTGTGTAGATCTTCGAGTTGGATTATAATCAGGGACCATAACTCTACAACTTTCAAGTTTTTCACCACTAGGTGGCACTGCTACCTCCTCAATACACATCTGCAGATAAAAGAAAGGAGAAAAAATGATTTTGAAATGTATTCAGTACAGTATAAATATTTAGTTTCTTTTTCAAGTCAAATAAACTGTTAAAAGGATATTTTAAAATGTAGTTTATAGTATCAAAAATAATTTAGAATTTCTTTATTTTAAATCACAACCACTACTCATTTAATAACCAGATAAATTATGCCTGGGACCATTTCCTACTGGCTAAGGAACTCTCTCTTGAATCTCCAGACCATCCATATATGTGTCTCCATCTATCTCTCCTCAATCTGTTAGCTACCTCTTTTTTCTCTACCATTCTCCTTTCTCTCAAGACTGTGGTGTACTTGATAGCATTTCTGATAATAAAGACAAGGCCATCTCTCTACATCTGTTTGCACATACAGGATGTCCCAGAATAATGTATACACTTTTTGAATCATTGTAACTTTTTCAATTTATGTATTCTGACTTGTAAATAAGATTAATACAAGAGAAAGAATACACATTTAAAGAACTTGAGAGTAAAATATACAAAAAACAAAAAATTAACTTTAATAAGATAAAAGCTACTTGGAGCAATGGCAGAATGTTCATATAATGATGAGTTCACATCAAGTGCTCAAACTGGTTGCCGTTCTGTTCAATACACTTTTCATATCTTGAAGAAATAGACCTACAAACGTCCAGTATCATTTCCTCTGATATTTGAGCACATTCTTCTTCAATTGCTACTCTCATTTCAGCAATTGTTTCGGGTTTCCTGCTGTAAATTTTGTCTTTTAGAAACCCCCACAAAAAAAAAAAAATCTAAGGGTGTCAAATCTGGTGATCTAGGTGAGTATTCAACTGTCCCTCTTCTTCCAATCCATCTGTTTTGTATATTTTCATCCATATAAGTTCTCACATCACAGTAATGTATTATTAATTATTAATATTTAAATGTATACATTATTTTGGAACACCCTGTATATTTGTGTTTGGTGACATTAACACCCACCATACCAAGTGGCTTAAAAACTCTGTAACTGATCTCGCTGACATACAAATCCATAACTTTTCAATCACTCAATCCCTCACACAAGTGGTTGACTTTTCTACACATTTCCCCAGTAACCCTGATGGTAAGGCTTTCCTTCTTGATCTCTGTTTTACCACCATCCCTGACTCCTGTCATGTCATGCAGCTCTGTCTTCTTGGCAACTCTGATTATGCTGTAGTGTCTATTAACATCTGCTCCTCCCCCAGCAAAGAACATTCTACTAGCAGAATATCCTTCTGTTATCAACGTGAAGACTGGGACTTCTTCCGTGATTTCCTTTGCGATGTCCCCTGGAATGTGGTTTTTAATTTCCTCATTCAAAAATCTGCATCTGAGGTCTCCTCCTGGGTAAAAGCTGCAATTGAGGCTTTCATCCCTGCAAGAAAATATAAAGTTAAATTGCGCTCATCTCCTTGGTTTACTGCTGCTTGCTCAGCTGCTATTGCCCATAGGAATCACTTCTACTGTCTGTACTGAAGTAACATGTCTGATTGCAATAGACATCACTTTGTCTCTGCCCATAATGAGTGCAGGCATGTCCTCAATGAAGCTTGGTTCTAGAGATTATTCGTAGCTCTGCATGAGTGTGCTTATCAACAGCAAACCTACAATACTTCCTCTATCCAATCAATTTGAAGTCCTGACTTCCTCAGCTTATAAGGCTGAATGCTTTGCTCGGAAATTTTCTTCCAATTCAACACTCAACTCATCTGGAGTACCCACACCTGATTTTCCTCCTAGAACTAAGGCTCTATTGAGTGAGATAAACATAACCCCATTGATGGTTTTTGGACATCATCTCTAAATTAGACTCCCATAAGGCTAGTGATGGGGATGGGATACCAGCCGTTGTCCTGAAGAAATGTGCTCCTGAACTGGCACCAGTCCTTGCCAAACTATATAACTATTACCTCACTGACTCTTGTTTTCCAGCCTCTAGGAAGTCCTCATCTGTTGTCCCTGTTTTTAAGAACTCTGGAAACCCTTCTGACTCATCTAACTACCATCCTATCAGTCTCCTACTACTTTTCAGCAAAGTCTTTGAGGCTTTAATCAACACCGAAGTGGTTAAGCACTTTACATCCTATAATCTGCTCTCAGACAAACAATATGGTTTCTGCTTTGCACTGCTGACATACTCATGACCATAATTGAATTTATATACCAAGCACTTGACAATAATGGAGAAGCTTGAGCCATAGCTCTAGATATCTCTAAAGTGTTTGATTGGGCTTGGCATGTTAGCCTTCTGTGTAAGCTTCAGGGATACGGCATTACAGGTTGATTATTTGAGTTAATAAAATCATTTCTGTCAAACCGTGAAATGAAGCTTGTCCTAAATGGGTTCTCCTCCAGTTCCTTTTGCACAAACGCTGGTGTTCCCCAAGGCTCTATCCTGGGTCCTACACTGTTTCTGATCTTTATCAATGATCTTCCTGATGTCATCAATTCTCGAGTTGGCATCTACATAGACGACACTACTATTTACTCCTGCCTCAGTAGTAAATCTGGCATCACTGACAAAACTAACCTGGCTGTAGGTCTCAGACTGTGGTTGACTGGGGCAGGAAATGACTTGTAAACTTCAATGCCTCTAAAACGAAACAGCTCTCATTAACCCACCATAAAGAATCTTTCCTGCCTCCGATCAGGATAGCTGATGCCCAACTCCACAAGAGCTCTTCTCTGTACCTGCTTGGTCTCATGCTGTCCACTCACCTGAAGTGGAACAACTACATTGAATCTATAGCTTCATCTACTGCCAGGAAAGTTTGTTCTCTGTATTGCTCCAGAAGGTTTTTCTTGCTTGAATCCATCCTTCAAATCTACAAATCAACCATTTGGCCTTGCATGGAATACTGCTGCCATATATGGTCTTGTGCTCACGCTGTTCATCTTGAGGTCCTCAACAAAATCCAGAGACGGATATGTAACATCATTGGACCTGATCTGGCATCTAATCTCCAGTCACTTTCTCACAGATGTGATGTGGCTTCCCTCTGTCTTTCCTACAAGTATTTTCATGGCAACTGCTCTGATGAGCGACTTTCATTGGTTCCCAAACTGCATGAATTTAAGCGTGCTACTAAGTTGGCATTTTGGTGTCACCCTTTCACTGTTGAAAAAGCTAAATGTAGCCATCTCTTCTACAGCTTCTTATCTTGCACCTTCCATCAGTGGAACTCCTTTCCTATCACTTGCTTTCCTGATAGCTATAATCTTCAAATATTCAAATGTAATGTCAATCAACATCTTCTGATACCTTGACCTTGATCCCTGTTCTTCTCTTTATCCTTTTCTCAAACACTCATCATTACTCTGACTCTCTGTAACCCCTTGTGTGCCGATAAGCTGGTTCACTAATTCAGAAGCTGAACCTGACTGCTATTTCAGGCACATTAGGTATATATATATATATATATATATATATATATATATATATATTAACAGGAGATAACTGATATCCATTAGTGAATTAACAGGAGATAACTGATAACTGACATCCATTAGACATGGCACGTGGAACTCGAACAGCCTACCCCAGCGAGTGAAATAAAGGGTTCAGTTTGACATTCCAACCACCTGAAGATAACCTGAGCATACAACAGCCGAAATGTTGTGATAAATATGGCAACAAAGATGAAGATGATAGTCCAAACAATGTAAATAGTGTGCATAATACTTCATCTTAGAAATATAGACAGATACTGAAGTTATTATTGTCTATAGAAAAAATATTCATAGATATATTTTAATTTCAATATATAATTATCTTGGAGGATATGATATATAAACTTTATATTTCAGACAAATGATGGGTAATTGAATGACAAAATAGAAAAGGACTTCTTCAGACTAAATGATTTCCACTGATGAGATTATATATACATATATATATATATATATATATATATATAATTATTTATTTAAAAATTATAACATGAATATGTTATAAAATCACTACAAAAATTGCCATTTTGTTTCAACACCTCTGGTATCTTATCAAGTGATGATGTTGAATGTAGATTGTAGAATAAAGGTTTTAAAAGGTTCAAATTAATTAACTCGTAAGGGGAAACGCTGTCACATGAGCTGAAATGACCAATCAAAATACAAGTATAATTTTTAAATAAATAATTATATTCGCTCTATTCTGTATTGAGCACTCTTTTAAGAATAGTAATTGTTGGTTATTGGAATTTATTCCGTATACTCCAATCATATACTTGGAGATATATATATACTAGCATTATATGCGGCATTTCTAGGGATGTAACAGTAAGAGATAGATCAAGTATCAACCATCATAAAGACTGAAAAATAAAATTGACAAAGATTCTTGTTTAAGGTTGACGGACACGTATGTCTTAATTAGTTTTTTTTTTTAACGAATTGGTCAAACCCAAACCTAAACAAAAACATTGTTTTCAATCGTTATGAGTCTACCGATTGAATAGAATTTTATTATAAACAATTGTCTTGTAAATGGAATTTTTAAAATATTCTGAATGTAAAAATAAAGAAAAAAGTGTGCAAGACAATAAGAAACACTACCTGCCAAAAAAAAGTGAAGTTTTGTTGAAATTGGTTGAAAAATGTAGGAAACCCGATCACATATATAAATGAACACACACACACACACACACCCTGGGTTTTTATAATAAGTATAACTCGATATGAGTTGTCCCCCTTTCATTCTGGCGATTTAATCGTGTTTTCAAATTGATTTCATGCAAAAACAATTGTGTTTTTTCAATTTTTGGCGCTGTCAGAAACACTGCAAGGTAATTTTACGTAGTCCTGTGAAGTTTTGTTGAAATCAATTGAAAAATGTAGGAAATCTGATCCAGTATATAAACATACAGACACACACACACACACACACAATTTATAATAATAAGATATATATATATATATATATATATATATATATATATATATATATATATATACAAGATCTGATCAGAAA